TGGTGAACCTTTGGTGGAAGAGAAACAAGACATGTTCTCAGCGGTGTCTCCGCTCATGGAGTTGTATTTGGAGTGGACGAGTTAAGCGTAATGATGTTTGAAGCCCTCTTCGCGTTAATGCTAAGTTCCCGCATATTTTCAGACAAGTGAGGTCAGGGGTTGATTGATACTTGCAACTTTTCCTCTTTGCGCTGCCTTGTGATGCCCCCTGAAGTTTGTCGGCGAGCAAGGACAACGAACAAAAAGGGGTGCCTCTATAGATGTGGACACGACTGCGACAAGGAGGAAGGAAGCCTCAGCTGGGCAAATCATGCCCAGAGCTCAAAGTGAGAGCGACACAGATAGCCTGGACGATTTGGTTCCTTTGTGGGATGACAGTCATCACGCGATATGTTTTGCGATTGCATCCAATGTTTTGTCGATTGGCTGAGGAGCCACGCAAAGCAGGCCTCAGTCCTCACCCAAAAACAATTGGAGACGCGCTGCATCTTGAATTTGGGAGTTTCATGCCACCTGGATGGAAAGGTGGAAAGCGCAAACAGCCATGATTTGCTTTAGCCTTTCGCTTGTGGAGGGCAAGTGTTCATCTTGTATGTGTATGGGCGGTGTTGCTGCTCACATCTAGCGGTGTTTCCGCTCATGGCAAGGAAGGTGTTCCACATGAATCAATGTTTGTTGGGGTTGGCCAGTGGATGTGTTCGACAGCTAGCGGTCTTTCCGCTCATGGCACTCCAGGTGTTCCAAATCAATGTTTGCTTGCTTCCAGCGCGCTCAAAGCCAGTTGAGCGCATGATTGCCCTGAAAAGTTCAGTGCGTCATGAGCACGCCTGGGCATGAAAAGGAATTGGCATGGAGAGGATGCCAAGCTCAAGAAGTGCCTCAGTGTTTGTGGAGCTTCTGAGAAGGCGGTTTTTCAGATATGGAACCACCTACACACTGAAAAGAAGCAGAAAAAAGCGAAACAATTCTTGGAGGAGGTGAAGGAACATTTGGGACCTTTTTCACATTGCTTTGACCCTTTGCATGTTAACCAAAAGGACCCAATGAAGCAAAAGCCCATTCCTTTCCAGCGGCGAACGTCCAGAAGTTGCTGCAGCTTGTAGTGAAAGAATGTCCAAGCTTCGCGCTTGCTTTGCAGAGAGGGCTGAAGGATAGCAAGTTGTCGCTCAGCCCCATTCTGCGATGAATGCACGCCTCTAAATGTGCTGCTACCAATAAACAAGATGAAGGCAAGCCTCTTCTACCTTAGCTTCTGCGAGCTGGGCTGCCTTTTGTCCTCTGAGTTGGTTTGGCTACCATTGGCCCTTGTCCTTCATGGTGATGTTGACACTGTGATTGGAGGAATGGCTGGCGTACTCAAAGTTTTAGTCGAACACATGTACGCACAGAACCGTCACGGGTTTTCAATCAAATTTGAGGACGGCGTGCGCTGGTGCAAGTTGGGAAAGTTCTTTTTTCAATGGCGACTTGGATAGTGTCAGGGCATCTTTCGCTCTGAAGGGAACTCCAGGACTACGTCCATGCCCACATTGCAGAAACATCATCAAAAAGAACACAGATTTGCTTGAGTACGATGATGATGGTTACTTCCTTGGTATCGCTTCGGCAAAGGAAGACTGCTTCGACAAAAACACTGACGAGGAAGTGTTCCAAGGAATCGACTTCTTGGTGGAGGAAGGAAACAGCCTTGGCAAGGGCCAGTTGAAAGACCTGGAAATAAGGGTTGGCCTAAATCTGCATTTGGTTTGACAAAAGCGCCCGATCCATTCTTCCTCCAAGCCGAATCCTCTATGACCCCATGCGTAGCTACTATTCATGTGGCATTGTGAATGTTGAGCTGTCTTTGCTGTTTCAAGCCATGGAAGGCGGAACGCCGTTCAACAAAGACAATTTGTTGTCAGCAGCCTTGGGAGCTGGTTGGGTTCGTCATGGTTTGGGAGCTACTAGGAGCCCAACGCTTTTAAAGCTGCTTTTCCATGAGAAGCTTTTGGCTGGCGATGTATACAAAGGCAACGCTGCCCAAACCAGGTCCCTCTTGTCCTTGATTGCTTACTACGTTGAAATTTTCCTCCGCAGGCAGGAACTGTTGCCAGGAGAGGCAGCATCTTTCCTTGCTTTGTGGAATTGTCACAGGGAGATGTCCACGTTGAAGCATGAAGAGCAGGTGAGAGATGCGTCGCATCAGGACTTATTCGAAAGTTCATCGAGGCCAAAGCATCACGCAAGGTTCCATATAGCAGACTCTGCAATGAGTTGTGGAAGATGTATCTCTTGCGAACCGCAGGAGAAGAAGCATCAGGTCTACAAGAGTTTCCTTGCACCCAGGCAAGAGCTAAAGTCGTCAGGTGCAGGTGGTGGAATTGCCTGGGCGGCTGCAGCCGTATTTTATCTACACAAGTTCAACCGACCAATGAATCTCCTTTGTGCCCTGAGATGACACTCTTGCCGCCCATCAAGAAGGCTGGCGAGATGCAATGTCGCGTATTGTTGAGCCCGTGCACTCCAACGGCTGCCAGTGCCCGGTTTTGATTGTCAAGGTTTTTTATCTACTTTCCAATTAAGTCTGCGCCGGGTATAATTGAAGACCTTCAACCACCAAGTTAAACCAAGCTTAGTGAACGAATTTCGTCAGCAGGCGCTCGTGTGGGAATATTAACGCTCTCCACAGATGGCTTGGTATTGTGGCCAAAGTCTTGCGCTGGGGGCATTGTTCTGGCCTTCTATTGCGCAGACGGAGTTCACTTTGTGCTGAGGAAACTATTTCCTGCAGCTGGTTCAAACATTTTGTTGCGGTTGCATTCTTATACATTCTGTGTTGCAGCGCTGTTGGATCAAACCTTTTTCTTTTCTCCAGCGGTTCGCCCGCTCATGTGGTTTGTTTCCCATAAATAGAGGATGTTATATTCACGATGTATGTTTCACGTTGGATCGACGCACCAAAAAATACCCAGGTATCGCAGCATCCCTATGGCAGCGTTTGGCGAGATGGAGCTCAGTGTCTTTGCAAGCGGGCTGAAAACTTCGTGGTGCCGTGGTGGTGGCGAGCCTACTCTGAGTGGATCTGTCTGCATTGAGACTCAACGCTCGTCTGAACGCGCTGTAAGAAAAGAAACAAAAACACACAAACTAGGAACTGTTGTAAAACCCACTGAAATCATTTGCGTTGCCGTTGCCCCGCCCAAAAAAGTGTAAGTTGATAGCGGTACGCCCACTCATGGTGCTCGGTCGTATACATTTTTCGAAAAATGAAGTTGCTTTCATGTGTTGGTTCTTGCAAAAACGTGCAAAAATCAAAATTGAAAAACAAAGGAAACCTACTTAGGTCCTACTTATAACCTACTTAGGTTCTACTTGCAAGCGCAGCAAGTACACTTGTTATAAGTAACCCTTAAGTATACTTAATATAAGTAACCCAAGTAGGATAACTAGAAGAGAACCACTAAGTACTACTAGTAAAGCACTTGTTACTAGAAGCGATGCACTTGTTCCTAGTAGAAATAGAAGCAAACATCCTCGCTTAAAAAACAAAAGAAAATCGACGGGATGTCAGTTCTCAAATCCAAACTGAGAGAAACGATTCCTCAGAGAAAAACGTGGTGAAAAACAACTCTGACCGTAATTAGAGATGCGCTACGAAAGCCACACCGTTTTTTGTTCAATTATTCCGTTAAAAACACTCAGTTTGAAACGGAGAAAACTAGAAACCTAAGAACAAAATTAGCCCGAGAGCTTCAACTATCCTGCGTTCAGTAGGTAGTAGTGGCTAGCGCTAGCCCTCACTGAATTAAGTACGCCCCTACTTAATTAAGAGAGGAGCGGGCTGTAAAAAATAAGTAGAAAACAGATTGTACTATTTTGAAAACATATTCCTATTAGCTTGGAGCCATGGCTATTAGGTTGCCATCGCATCCACTCAACTTTCTTGGTCAACTCTTCCGTCCGCCGTCCGCCTGCTTGCCCAAGATGTCGGCTAGAGCTTTGCGCGCCAAAGCGGTATCACCCTCATGCGGGGCGAAAATCCAACTGGAAAAACAATCTCAATCGTACATGTATATATATGTATAACTTTTATGCATTACATTGCCCAGCCCACCTCTTGACCCTTTCCGCGCTTCTAGCCGGGGTCAAGTGCCTGCTGGTGAAAAGCAAAAAACCCTAGCGCCCTCTCCCGATCAAGACCTCCTTAGCAGAAGAACGGGGTGGTGGAGGGACTTTGAAAAGCTCCGGTGGGCCAGCAATTCACGCACGCTAACCCCTTGGGAGAAAACACGCATTACATTGCCCAGCCCACCTCTTGACCCTTTCCGCGCTTTTAGGCGGGGTCAAGTCCCTGCTGATGACAAGGCAAAAGACCTATAGCGCCCTCTCCGATCAAGACCTCCTTTCCCCACCCTCCACGCGTCCTAGATCGGCAGCAAACCGTTGGCTTTGCGCGAACTCTTTGGGAAACCGCTGGCGGTAAGACAAGGGCAGTGTATTCTTGGAGGGCTTGATCCAGGTAGATGCGGGCTGTAGAAACATGTTTCCAGCGGCCTTTAGCCAAAAGCTGGTCAAATTTCATGCCTGGGCATAGGCCGACGTTGCTCCTCCCCTCCTTAAACTGTACGGGAGGTAGTTGAAACTTTCAAGGCTGCAAGGTGGACCACCACCTATTTCCACAGCGACCTGAAAGCTGCGGGGGAGAAGTCAACTAACTTCTCATCAGGCCTGCGTCTATGACACAGGGCTCTGAGGCATCCAGTCCCACTTTTCTGACTGATGAGCGGTTCATTGCGCTGCTTTGGTGTCATGCAGAAAAAGTATGGCCGACTTGCCCTTTCTGCGTTGGCAAAACGACGTCTTTCCGATGAAGCTGAAACGTCTCTCCTTTCGGAAGTAGGCCACAAAAGGCCACCATCGTCAGTTGAGCTGACCGAGGTCCATTGCCATTTCCACATGATTCCAGCCGAAACCAAGTCTGGGCTTAGTGGGGTAGCCCGTATTGGTTGCTCCAGCTTGTTCCAAAGAGAAACAAGCTGCCATGCCCTTTGAGTTCGGGTTTTCTGTATTGTACAGCGGCCGGCGCGTAGTTTGCAATACTTTTGGGATCTCAATCCTCCCAAAGGAATTCAATGTACTGGCAGAGCGCTGACTCTAAGTCCTTTCGACATAGTACATCTGCCACGTTGCTTCCAACAAAAGATCTCAGACATGTCTGAGCAACTGTTCTCCAAAGATCAAGGCGTCATTTTGCAGATTTTGCAGCCATGACATGAGCAGCCACCTCAGCTTGGTAGGAACTAGCCTCATCCTCCAAATGTTGAAGAAGGTGACCGCCCCAAAGCCAACATGCCCCAACCTTGGCAAACATAGTGCAGGCGGCTCCCACACCTTGGTTACCACGTGAACCGTCCACATAGAAGCAGATCTCACTCGGTTCTTCGCTCGCCCAAATTGGTAGATGAGCCCATTCAATCGAGCTAGGATGCCATGGCAAGTAGTTGTCAGAGGTCGGAAGACAAACGTGCCCATAGAGCCATTGGCCAAAGGTGAGCGCCCCAGCAAAGTCTAACCCCTCACACTGCGCGACCAAGGGTTTGATAGTGGGCAGGTACTGCTGGCTCAAGCTAGCGCTCAGCCGAATCTCTCTGACAGGGACATCCATGGAAACTGGCTCAGGTGTGCAAGTCTCTGGCTTGAGGAACGCATGCAGGAAATGGTTATCAACCATGCTGGTCTCCTGTACCAAGCCCAGCCAGAAATCATTGTCACATTGATGATCATAGAATCCACTGTTCTGATCATCCTCTGTCACCTCAACCCATGGCTCGAAGTGGACGGGATTCCCAGGAGGTGGCAGCTTGGTGACAGCCAATGTCTCGGCACCTTTCCAGCGAAGCTGAAGAAGAGAGTGGTCATCCTCCTCCAGGGAAGCCCGCTCAGATTCTTTCTGGATGTCTAGATATTGACCAGGGTCGCGCCCATCGATCCAAATCTGCAGAAAGCTGGCGCGCCCCAAGAGACGGGCGCGCGGATCTGGTTGCTCCCAAGGGGCAAATCCAACGCGCACCAGTGCAAGCCACACTCACGATGAAGCCCGAGTTCTTGCAGCAAATGGAACCGTGTGATCGTGTGATCAGATGAGGTATGACCAAAACTTGTTTGTAGCTGGTGTCCGAGAAATGTAGGTCAACCAGAATGACACTCTGCGTAGGAAGGTAATAAGAACCTGGCATCGCAAGCAGCGCAATTTTCTCACCAAAAGGTCTTCCAGCAGGGTGTGCGTGGTTTCAGTTCGAGGATGAGGGCATTCGCTCGATCAGCAGCCAGCCATATATAGTCCCCACTCCAGCACAGTCCGCAGGCCAGTAAACCAATGCCCAGGAGGCGGAAGATGGTGAAAGGGAGAGTATCTCTGGTATACCTCATAGACATCCATAACCTCCCTCCTCACAAAGTGCCTCTGCGTCAGAGACTGCCCGTGGGTGAGCAGCCGATTCATTCTCGACAATTGCTGATCAAGCCTAGGACGCTTGCATTCCCTGAAAGCGGAACGAACCAAGAAGTAGTCCCCAGCTTTCAATTCATTGTCACGCTCAATCTTCACGTTGTTATGCCACAAAGTCACAGCCCGCAAGTCGTCATCATGGTCCTCCAGATGCGTAGCAAACGTGGCCATCTTGCTTGCCAATTCCTTGATGGTGTAGGCAATGTCCAGCCTCTCCTGCGACAAGTAGATGCCCATGCCCACTATGGATCGGTAGATGGCTGCATCTTGGGGTGTGATGAGGTTTGAGGTATCCAACTCCTCGATTTCTGCAGTGAATGGGAGTTTCTGTCTCTTCACATCTCCATACACCCCTCAAAGGTCTTGATCATGTTGGCTGCATATTGGCCAGGTTTGACCAATAACCCCTCATCCATCACCTCATATATTCTCTTGAGGAAACTGAAGGTGTCTCCCACACTCGAAGTGTTTCTTCAACTCCGTTGTGAACACGTCCACCACCTTGGAGCATCCTGTGAACATGATGTCGTCTACGTGAATCAGCAGACAAATCATTTCCCGTCCTGATCCTTTCTTGCCCAGGCATGGATACACCACATCAAACTGAAAGCTCTGTTCCTCCACCAAGTAATTTCTGACGTGCTCATACCAGGCTTTTGCCCCAATCCTTTGCCCAGGAAGATTGCGAAGAACTCTGTATTTTCCTTGGGGTGTGGTAATCTGTACTTCCCGTTCTTGAGGCACCTGGAGAAAGGCATCCTTAACGTCCAATGCTCCTATAACTGTGGTTTGCCTGCCTTCTCGTCTTGGTCGTAGCACAAGGACCTCATGGCCAGGTACAAGACTGGAAGCAACCGTAGCGCATGGCTTCCTGATGCCGGTGAGTAGACACCGTCTCTCTTGCCCACTGCATACTCTCTGGCCACCAATCTTGACCTCCTCATCCACTGTTTCCTCGAGCTTTCATCAGGCATCTGCCTAGGGTCTTCACTCTCCAGTCTCGAACGAACTTTGTAGTGAGCTTGTCGAGACCAATCCCCGTCTCATCCAAGTCCTCAATCACCCCCATCTTCTTCAATCTCTTTTCCTCCACTTGCTCAGCCAGGAGCTCCACTTCCCAAAACGGTTGTGGTGGTGTTCTGTTCAATGGTTCATCACTCCATACTCCATCTGGAATCTGATTTTCTTTGTCGCCAGTGTCGAAGTGGTCCACGTCCTCCCTCTCACCGCTCCTTCACCTGTGTTCGGCCTCAGGCCGAAGATCATCACGTCATTGAATTCCTGTGAAACTTGTGAAACTTCCTCCTCCACGAACTCGATGCGCTTGATGCCAGGGTGCTTTGTAGTCGTCGCCTGGTAGCATTGATGGACAGAGGGCGGGGCTGGCCTAGATTGTAGAGGTTAGTTTGGCGCTTTGTGAAAGAAGGTCTTGACAGGCTTGTGAATGTATCAATGTTTGTTGTACGTCGATGAAATGAATTGCTGTGCCAGGACTCTGTCGACAAGGACTTGGAGACAGAGTTTGATGCTGTGGGGCCAATGCCATTACCATCACCTGCCCACGAAAGCGTCTCTGCAGAAGTGCAAGCTTTGGGCTGGGGCGTGACATTGGAGGTAACATTGCCTCATCAGACACCATCTCAGGGAGGACGTGCAGAGCGTGACAAGATTGTCTCATTGAAGGAGGGGTCCGACAATCTCATCCAGGTCAATTAACCCCAATGGATGGGTGCTTGGGGAGAGTATGTGTTCACCACCATTGAGTACAACAATGAGAGAGTGATAGGGAACAAGCTTGACAAGTGTCAGAGCTTATTGCCATGAGGGAGCCAAAGGCAGCCGAAGGTCAACCTCACCCACCACTCACCCCCTCACTCCACGAGGAATGGTGAGGCAAGTGATGGTCCAAAAGAGTCTCACCCAACAGTGAAACCACCTGACCTCTCCCCAGAATTCCCCAGAACGAGGTCTGGTGGGAGAGGTCAAGAGCTCTGACTTTGAAAAGCTCCGGTGGGACCAACAATTCATGCACGCTATCCCCTTGGGAGCACACATGCATTTTACAAAATTAAATGATTTTACAAAAAAAACATATGTTTATCAAAACGCACCGCGAAAAACCCTCACTTGAAGCTCCGCTTCGGCCTTCGGGCTCATGATGAAAGACGCAAAGCTGGGAGGCCTTGGGGAGCGCTTCTGTTTAATCGGTTGGTGTGTTGTTGGAAACACAAACAGACTCGAAAAACGACCCAAAACGCGCTAAGCGGTGGACATGCCAAAACGCAAAACGCTCTCCACGAAGACCCGCATCGCCTTGATGTGCATCCATGCCTCAGAGACGCTGCGGCAGCCGAGGCAGATTTATAGCCACAAGGTTGGAGGACATTGCAGCTAGGTTGGAGGTCATTGCAGCTAGGTTGTAGGTTGGAGGCCATTGAAGCTAGGTTGGAGGTCATTGCAGCTAGGT